CTAACAGCAAGCAAGTCAGCACTCTGGAGGGGAATCAGTATGTTCAAGGTGCACTCAGGATTTTTTGAAGGGTGTAACAGGTCCTTCCACCCCAGCAGATGCTGCAGGCGGATGGGGCTGGGAGCTCTGCAACCACACCCCCAGCCTGGAACGTGTCCAGGAGAAGAAAACTACTCTTGAAATAGAAATTCTTCTCTTAGGAGTGTGAGAATGGTGGCAGAGGCACCAAGTGCCTTTCACTGTGGGATTGGATAGGATATGTAATTATCTGAGCTGCTGGGAGTCCTGTGGTTTTTAACTTGGTTGCGTTTCTCTGTTGCCATGAGCCTGACAGTGATTCCACTCGCTGTGTTATATTTTCACAATTGGTTTTGTCAGTCCTCAGTTGTTTTTTTTTTTTTTTCTTTCCTGTAAAACTTTTTTTTGCCCTCATCTTTAGGATTTTGGTGGCTTTACACTCTCTTTGGCTCAGATGCATACTTGCCATAATATTCAATTGTATTGCCTGTCCAGCTTTTCCTGGTGGGTTCTTTCCAGTAACACATTATTTCCTTGGCACCTTTGCAGCTGGTCTACATCTAGATTAGCTTTCTTTCCACAGCCATATATTAGCAACCTGAAATGTTCTTTAAGTACCTCAAAAATAAATCTATAAGTGGAAATTCCTCAGCACCTCCTGAGCAGCTTTCTAAACTTTGTTCTGGCTGTGTGCAAACAGCACAGACACTTTGGGTGGAAAGGCCACATGCTAAGCAGAGCATGAGCACAGAAATCTCCCTTCTCAGGGAAGGTGAAAGATTGGGATGGTTGCAAATGATACCAATTAAAGAGGAGGTACTGGGTAACTGATGCCCTTGGCCAAGTGTAAGTTTGAAGAAGAGAGATTGCAGTGACCAAACGCTTTGGAGAGGTGAGTTTGCTGCAGGGACATGATGAAAACAGCTGCCAAAATATTAAGAGCAGTTTTAGAGAATGGGAGGTGGAATGGAGGCAGGAGATGAAGACAGAAGGAAATTGGGCTGTAAAATTCAGGGAAGGGACAGTTGAAGCGAAGGCAGACAGCGGGGGGTGCCTGGCAGGAGCCCTGGGGATGACAGAGTGCCAGGGAAATCCTGCCAGCACACCCAAGGTCAGCCCAACCTCCAGGCCAACTGCCAAGTGCCCGTGGGAGGCAGGGTTGTGGCCATGCAGGGTTTGGAGCAGGTACAGGTGCAGGATGGCAGAGGATGGCACGTCTGTGCAGTCCTTGTGCCCAGGAATAGGTTCTGGGGCGTAGCAGGCAGATTTAGGATGCTCACCAAGAGGTGACTGGAAGCTTTGTTCTGCTGGCAGGGCTGGGCAGTGTGTCCATGCTGATGGTGCACTCTGCCCTGCTCGCTCCTGGGGACAGAACTGGTGCTGGAGGCACCAACTGTGTGCTGGAGTGTTCTGGCTTCAAACTCCTTGTGTGACCTTGCACAGATCAATAGCATCTAAAATCTAGCTGTAGACAGCATCCACGTCTTTGTGTTTACTTTTCATTCCAAAAAGGATCCTTTAATGTTGGCTGATTTCAGTGCACAGTGAAGCTCAGCCAGAAAAGGTAGTCAGGAGGACAAATATACATCTGGACACCTATTGAGGTTTCCAAATGCACTTTGAATAGCAGGCTGGAGTGACAGCAGTGAAGATCCTGGTGGTCTCCACAGACCCTCTTTGCCTTTTGGTCTTCAGTGTCGCCCTGATTCTTAAGTTTTTCTAAAGCCTTCTGAGTTTACATTCTGTTGGAAAACTTTCCCACACAATTTCTATAAATAACACATTATTTTACATTCCTTCATAAAGGTAGAAAAACTTGATGTACTAGTAGTTTATCCAATGTCTTTGGAGAGGTGGCCCATTCACTCTCCAATCCACTGTCACCTTTAAAAAAGTATAAAAATTAGAGTCAAAAAATAAACTTCCTCTTTTGCCTTGCAAAATAGCAAGTGGCTCACATTGTGCTTTCTCGTGTCCTACAGTGACACTTCAGTATCATCAACCCCAGCCCACTCAGTGCCCTCCAGCCTCCTCCTTGTAAAACAAGGTCATTATTGCAGAGTATGGGAGCTGGACACACCTGTGGGATTATTTTGAATGAAAATACCTGGGAGCACAGCAACCCTCAGCAGCTCTATGATGTGTACAGAGCATGTGGATGTGGTTTAGCTCCTGGAGGTGACTGTCAAAATGGGAATTTTCCTTGGAAGATGAGCCTGTGGAGCCGTGTGTGGTGGGCAGGAGGGCAGGGAGAGGTGAAGCTGAGCCTGCGTGCTGTGAGCCCAGTGCCTGCACTCGGTGTCCCCTCCTGCAAAGTGTGGTCACACAAGGCAGCTCCTGTAGAGCTCAGAAGCTGGAGCATGGACTGGGGAGCCTGGCTGGAGGATGGCCCAGGGGGGAGGCTGGGATCCCACCCCATCCTCGTTACTGCTGACCTTGGCACGAGCACTGCCTGCTGATGGATCGGCTCCGGAGCTGGACAAGCCCCTGGGGAACCACTGCATTATCTGTTATGTTCCACCAGTGCCTCCCCTGACCCCTCCCAGCTCCAAATGCCACAGGCATCAGGGAAGGAATAAATCTCTGTCTGCTACTGAGAGAGAGAAGGGAGCGAGAGCAGGAAAAAGGAGAGATGAAAAATGTCCTTTTTATGGCTCTCACAACAAAGCTGGCCACGTGATTCGTAGCAAACATTACTCTGGGAAAAGGGAGGGAGAGAATGGGGAGGGAATCAGCAAAAAGCAGCGCTGCTTCTCTCCCCTGAAAGGTGCCCAGGGGGAATATAGAGGGGTATGGGTGACCTTTGAAGGTAAATATCCCAGGAAAAGCAAGGAAAGAGGCCTCAAAGCTGCAGTGTCTGAGGCTGCCTGGTGAAACGCTGCACAGGCTGTGAGCAGAACGCAGAGGCACAAGTGACCTGAGTTAGAGCAGCAGCAGGGCCAGGCTGTGATTAACAAGGCACTAATGGCAACCACAGGTTTGGTGCTTGTTTCTATTTGGGGTGACCCAGGAGAGCTCCAACCTGTGAGCCGAGGGAGAGCTCCTGACCCTGTCCAGGAGACAGAAACCTTTAGCAGCACAGCCAGGGCCTGAGGAGGGGCTGGAGATGAGGTGCAGGGCTCAAGAAGCCCCTTGCCCATTGCCCACCGACCCCAATTTGGGTTCCCAGGGAAGCAGCCCAGCCCCAAAGCTGTGGGCTGGCACCAGCTGCAATTCCCACTGTGCAGAGAGCTGCAGCAGAGCTGTGGGTGCAGACTGGGCAGGGTCTGCACCGGGGTTCTGGGCTGTCCCAGAGCACCACCACATCAGGCAGGGTGTCTCCAGCTGCTTCCAGTGCCATGGAAATGCACCTTTGCTCTCTGGCCTCCTCAGCACACTGCCACTCCTGGGGGATGACAGGCAGGTGCTGTTCTTGCTGAAAAATTCACTGAATCAAGATGTTGATCAGATCTGTTGTTTCTTAAAGACACGAAGGGCTTGGAGTTGGGAAAAAAAGACCTTTTGTCACCGTTTTCTTCTGCTCCCAGACAAGCATATGCCTTACCTGGGAGCACCTTCCCAGGCAGCACTGAGATCACAGCCAAGCACGGTTTAGAGTCCAAAGCCAACTGAAACCCATTGACAGCCAGGTCATTTTTAGGAAGATGCTCTTGCTGTGACCAGGGATCACCTTGTCCTGGGAATGCTCACCAAAGCTTGTGACTTTTAACTTGCCAGTCATGGAAAAATGTGTTAAACTCCCACTTTTACCAAAATGGCTGTAACAACTCTTTGATAATCCCAGTAATTTGGTTTTATCTATAATGTGCTTTTAAAGTAAAGGGATAAATACAATCAGTCTGCATAAAAGGTAGCTATTAAGGAGCAGGCGAGTTGTAGAATAATAACTTTCAATTAAAAGCCCTTTCTCACTACTTCTGCTGTTGTGGGGTCTGCAGATTTTCCTTAAAACTTTTGAAGCATGTCTGGGCTTCTTACAGGCAGGCATTTAACCTCCGTTTATGAAGAAATAAAGCAAAATTGATGTTGATTTTGGCCTGCATCGGGGGATACTTTTGCAACATAAAAGCCCTTGTGCCTGCAATTTGCAGAGCAGCACTGTCACATGGATGAGGGCTGATACTGATAAAGATAAAGCTTTATAGCTAGGGCATTTGCAGCTAACAGCAAGCTAATGCTACATTTTCATTTTGATGCAATTAATGTTAATGTCTGCTACGAAAATTGTCATTAAATACCATTTTAAAATCCATTCAATTTGCATATGCAAAGCCCATTTACTATCATGTAAAATACATGGTGCTGTTCATCATGTCTTTTCTCTAGAATTTGTAGCTGTTATTTTTCTGGTAGTGATTATTATCTAGCTCTTAAAATAAAACCTAATGTCTGGTCCAGACCTGCATAGAGCAAGAAGCCCCCCTGGGCTCCAGCAGCAGCAGGACTTTGAGAGGCTTTGAGCCCTGGTTTGTGCTGGAGTTGCACTGGCAGGGAAAAGCTTCTTTGCCTCTATCATGCTCTACTCCCAATTTCTGCCCAATGCAGAGCAATGAACTGAGTAGGAGAGAGCAGGATAAAGAACTTGAACTGATCTTTAACTCCACCAGAGTATTTCTACCAGTGCAGACAGGTAGAAATGCTGTTGCTCTGATTTTCTGACCCTGGGATGCCAGTTTTCTGGCTGACAGCTCTTCATATTCTTTTAAATTAAAGGGTTGGCATGGAAGATATTTTTAAGAGGTTTCAAGCCCATAATACTATAGGTGAAATGAGGCTGTGTTGTGGCACGTGTGTTAGATTCAGGTAGCTGATTATGTGACAGGAGTGTCCTCAGACATGGATGTGATGCTGTGACTCACATACCCAGGTTCAGGACGCTTCTGTTTTGGGGACTGTGGTAGCTGAGACTGGGGAGGGCTGTAGGTGTGAGGGTAGGAAGGGATAATTTCATCCTGAGGGGGGGCCCAAACCTTCCCCCTTACCGTGGTGGCTTGCCAAAAGTCATGCCTGGAGGTACCTTGCCCCCATATCTGAGAATGCCCTTGTCCTTGCAGCGGATGTCCCTGTACTTGTAGTAGAGAGCAAAGTCCCGGGCTGTGGTGCAGCCCTCGTCCACAGCTGCACGGCCCATGGCCACGAAGTCTCGGGGCATGACCCTTTTGTGAGGCTTGGCCTTCACTGAATCCCAGTGGCCTATGGCTGGAGGTGGAAGGAAATAGAGAAATAAAGAGGAGGCATCTTGGTTAGCTCCTGTTAGGAAAGCAGATTGATGTGTGTGTGTGTTGCCGCAAGCCCCCAGCTGGGTAATAATTAGCACTGACTCCATGATTCTAGAAAGCTGATCAATCAATTTATTATATCATATTATACTATTCTCTTTTAGAAACTCTCATCACTCTTACAGACAGTCCAATACAGACAGACCAGATTGGTCAGTCAACCCAAACACCATCCAGTGTCCAATTAAGAAATCACACTTTGGTAAAGAAATCTCCGTAACACATTCCACATGTGCACAATAAGTGCAGCAAGTGGAGATAAGAATTCTTTCTCATTCTTTTCTCTGATCTTCTCACAGCCTTCCCCAGGAAAATGCCTGGGAAAGTCTGTGCCTGCTGCCACATGTGTGCACCGTGCATGGGGGCTTTGTGGGGCTAAGATTCCTTTTGTGAGCTTTGTACACTGTCCCACTGCATCCCATATCCCATCTGAATTGGATGTCTTCTCACCCTCCTCCCAGGCTTGCTCAAGATGTCTGATTTTACAAGGAAACTGTCCCTGAGAGCACAAAGCAGGAGCCCTGACAAAGTTGTGACAGTGCCCAGGTGCATCACCTTTTGCAGGTGCACCCTTCCTGCTTGGGCTCTGTGTGAGCCTCTGAAAGTTTCCAGTGTGACAGAGAAACTTCACTGGTCACCAAACAATTGGGGTGATATTAATGAAAGTGGGTAAATGTTGGAGTTCTGCACCTCCAGCTTGATGACAAATATTGAAGAGCCATGGGAAGGAGAGGAGACTTCCTACTAGCTTTAGGACTTTGTTGCAGGTCTGTGTTTTTGGGGCAGTGTCCTACCTTCAGGGACTCCTCCATCTCTCTGGTGCACGTATATCCCATAGGTAAAATCAGGGCCTGGCAGGGAGTAGCAGTTTCTCATGGGCTTTCCAAGTTCTGGCTGCAGAAAAAGAAATAGAGAAGCATATATAGCATTAATAGAGAAGCAGAAAGACCTTTTCTGATAAGATAAAGTGCCTGAAAACAGAAGTTTGTAATAGAACACAGCCACAAGTACCAGGAGTGTCCATTTGGCAAGGGCTTTAATCCCACTGCACAGTGAGTGTCACAGTGCAAAAAGGAGTTGAAGCCTAAAGAATGGTGAATTTCACACAAGTTAGATTTTGAGTTATAAAGAGACCTAGCCTTGCTGAAAAAAGAGATCCTGACTCAATAGATATGGACTTGAAATCTTCTTGTTTGGTTAATCTCTTCTTTGGTGGGGATGCCCAGCTGTGGTGTCTGCTGGGGAATCAGCAGCTAGTCTTAGCTTTACTTTGAGTTATTTCATTTCCAAGTTGTGCATCCTCCCAAAAAACTGACATAAACTTCCCCAGGCACAATCACATGGCTGGGAATAATCAAAACACAAGGCATGCTGCAGGAGGAGGAGAAGGGGGATGGAGAAGGGAGAGCAGAGCCTGGGGTTTATAGCACAGAAAAGAACTTCAGCTCAATAACATAATTTCTATTTCACTTTCAAATGAACTCTTCCCCTGCTCATGTGTGTCCCAGTTGGGTGGTGTCTGTGGATTAACTGGTCTCCCCTCTCCCTTTTGTTTCCACACTCCCATCTCCATAGTGGAGTCACTGCAGAATGTGTGTCCTGAAACCTCATTGCTGCTTGAAAGGGAGGGAAGGGACAGGGCAAAGCCAGAGAGAGTCCCCAGGAGCCCTGAGGGCAGGATGGGGGTGCTTTGGAACGGGTTATTTTCCATGGGAAGGGTGTTAAGAGAGCTGGGGTGTTGTTGGTGTTGGCAGGACTTGCTGGGAGAATGAAAGTGCTGAAATACCACTCTGGTGCTTCTCGGGGTGGACCACTGAACACTGCCATTGAGGTGGCCCTTATCACACTGCAGAGTGAACACTCTGGGTCAGGAGCTGCTCCATCAGCTGCAGCCCTTTTCACACAGTGAAAAAGAAGCAGCAAATGAGCCACCTCCAGCTTGCCACCATGGCAGGCTCAGGCTGTGCAGGTTGATAAGGGACCCAGCTCACTGGAGCTGCTTGTGTAGGAGAATCCTCCACACCAAAATTTTCCCTTTGCTCCCAGTCAGCACTGTGCAAACCCTGGCCAGGGCTTCAGAGCAGCCATGGTTCCCCTGTACACTGCCAGCATGGGGGCTGCTTTCCAATGTGCTCTTCTGCATCTCCCTCAGCTCAGGCAAAACTCTCACTGAGCCAGTTTTACCCAAAAAGTGAGGGTTAATAACCCCCGTCCAGAACAGGCACCTTTCCAGAGGGCTCTGTATTGTCTCTAAAATGTGCTTGTAATTCCTCCAGCTTTCACACTTGTAACCCTCTAAAGGAGGTGTGGCATTTCCACAGCTCTCAGGAGCACAAATTCCCCAGAAAATGAGTTTTAGGGACCTGCCCTGTGTGCAACTGCAGCTCCTCTGTTGCAAAGAGCCCTTTCTAAAAGCCATGGACTCGGTGATGGGATGCAAGTGAGCACAGGCAGGGACTGTCCCCTGTCCAGCTGAGGGGACAGGGGACTGAGTGGGGTTTTAGGGCCACCAGGGCTGTGGTGCCACCCAGCAGTGACAAACCAGGTGTGCTGGGAGCTCGTGCAAAGCGCTGCCAGCCCTGATAAAGGAACTTCCATTGCTGATCTGTTCCTCCTGTGTTTACAGCTATTTTTAGGTTAGTTGCCACTGGCGTGCAAGGGAAATGGTGTAATGTTCCTCAGATGCACGAGAAAAGGCGTTTTCCTGGGATCACATTCTGATAATGGAACAGGGAAGTAAGGTCAGAAATCTGCTGTGGTGGCAAAGATGTGACAGGTGGGAGAAAAATCACTGAGAAACTGCAGGGCAGGAGAGAGGTTTGTAACCTGTGGCAAAGCTGCTTCCAGACCTCGAGTGCAGATCTCTGTAGAATGGAAGAAATTTCGGGATTTAAAGAGTCCCTTCTGCAGAGCACCTGAAGTTAACACAGTTGGGTGTTTACTCCATCACAAAATGAGTGCATGCTGTTTCCTTTTATGATCAGGTGGCATTTTACAGTCACTTTGCACTGAATAAATAAAGCTGAAGGTGCTGGATAATTAATTAAAAAAAAAAAAATCTGGTCCAATATATTGAACATGGAGAGAATCTGTGCCTGAAGAAAAATCAACGAACTCAGAGGACTCTGGTTGCCTGCCAACATCTTTTACCTACAAAAGCAAAGAAGGGGAAGGATGTAGCAGGAATGAACACTGTAATCCACAATTACAGCCTTTCTCATTCATAAATTACAAAATGCTGTTTCCAGCTCATGGGCTGGTTTCATTTGTTTGTCCTGGGGCATTATAGGTGTGCTCTGTCATAAAGCAGTGGGGAAATTGAGCCAAAGTTGATGCAGAAGGTATTTTTTTTGCCTTTCTCCCCCAGTTCCAGCACCGTTCCCTGTGTTCAGGTTTAGCCTGTCACAAAGCTGCTTGGCTGGAATACAGATCTGTCTGACAGCTGTGCCCATCAGCAGACAACTTCATTAAACCTCATTAAGATGTCATTTCTCTGCCTTATTTCCCACCTCTTGGCTCTAATTAAAACCGTCTCTCTCTGCATCCCAGGCGGTCCTAATTTTCTCTGGGTACCTTCTGCAAGTTTTCTCCCTTTACGACCTCGGTGAGGAAAATCCAGCATCCTAAATGCTGTTTATCCAGCCACTTTGGAAAAGACAGCTCTAGACCTTATCCTGAAGCATTCCCAGAGCACCCAGCAGAGATCAACACCTCTGAGGCTTTGTTTGCTCTCTCAAACTGTCTTTAAAGGCTTGGCTGATGCATCCTTTCCCCTTGGACATGATAATTTCTCTGGTGGAACCAGGTGTGTCTTGGCTGGGTCGGGAGGGTCCCACTGGTCATGGTGCAGTGCTGGGGGTGTTTGATTAGTGGGGATACCTTGGTTGGCTGAAAAGTGAGTGCTGTTGAGTTATCCTGAGCCTTTGCCTTTTCTGATCTCTGCAGCCCTGGATTTGTATTTGAGCGTTGGAAAATGTTTGCTGCAAAGGAAGAGGAAGGCTCTGAAAGGGGTCCGTTTCTAGAGGTGGAGGCATTGCAAAGGTTTAAGCAAGTGCAAAATCTTTAAGGATTCCAGGTTTTGTTGCAAGACTTATTTGTGTTCTGTCCCCCGGTGTTCATGGCCCAGCAACACACATTGCATCAATTTTCTAAAGATGACTGAGAGAGGTGGGAGACGTGTCCACACAGAGAGGTACAAAAAGAGACTGAGATGTGGATTTTTAATCCCTGCCTCTACAGCCTTTTCCTGGAAGGGGATCCACGAATCCTCTGTGCTCCGACTCAGCCGGGGCTGCCCCATCCCCTCCTCTCTGGCTCTGCCTTGTGGACACCTGCAAACTCTGTGCTGGTGCATTTTCAGCCTGCCAGGCCCTGCCTCCTTCCTACCTTCTGTTCCCCTTTTCATTACACCCCCTTGTACAGTAAAGCCTCCCGTCACGCTGCCATTACTATTATTATTGCAGATTTACTGCACTTGCAGAGTGAAGTGATTGCAGTGACAAGGCCCAGCATTTTTCCCTCCTTCCCCCCGCGACAGCTTGAAATCAAGCCCTTCATTTGCATTTACATGATCTTGCTGTGCAGCTTATGAGATCGGGAGATTTATTTGCTACTTAGCTTGATGTTTGATTACACTCTAAGAAGGCAGTGAGCTACAAAGTGCAGAGATACATCAGAACTGAGCTACTGAAAGCCTCTGGGGGACAGTAGCTCAACATCAGGTTTAGGTAGATGAGAAAGGGAATGTTCAGTGTTTTGAGAGAGGCAAATTTGATGAGATTTTTTTTTTTTTTAAAGGTGGAAGGAAAAACTTACCTTTTTTTTTTTTTTTTTTTTTTTTTTGTGAGAAAGTAAAACAAGAATGTTGTTATAAAAACACGCCTGAAAAATCTAGGTTTGTTAGTGCAGAAGAAATCCTAGCAGGGGCTGGTGGCTGCTGGGCTGCCTGGCGCCAACTGCTTGTAACTTCCACTCCCAAGCAGATTATTAATAATAAGTTGGCAGTTGTCTTCAAAGCTTTTCATAAGCATTAAAGGTCAAAGCCAAAGGAAGTTCTGCTTGATGGACGACCACAAGTTCTATCCCTGATTTATTAAGCTTCAAAGCATGCCACTGAGCATTAACACTGTAATAGAGGGGAAACTGAGGCAGGGAATCAGTGTGCCCATGCAGGACAGCAGAGGGAACAGAGTTTGGACTGTGGAAAGAAGACAGTGAGACCAAATCATCCCAGCCTTCTATATCAGTGTAAGAATCTTCCTCTTTCCGTAGAAAAGGGTGATGGTTGGGCAAACTGCTCTGCCTTTGGAGTCAGACATGGCAAAGCTCAAGGATCTTGCTGTGAGTTTAACTCCTTTAATTACAAGTACTCCAGACAGATCAGCCACACTGCTAACCCACAGTACATCTGCAAGTGCAATCTCCACTAACCTGTGCTCCTGACTGACCTGCCCTAGGAGCTTCAGCCTAATTAGACACCAACCTTTGACAAGAAGAAAAGGCAGGCAGCCCTTCCAGCCCAGGTTCTCCCTACACAACCCCTGGCACCAGCCCCTTGCCATTCTCTGGCTTCCAGCAGGGCTGGAACACCAACAAGCAAGGGCCACACACAGAGAGCCCGACACAGAAACCCCAGTCCAGGGAAGCACCCACTGTCTGATACACTCACTGCACATTCCAAGTATTTGCACTTAGCTTTTAGTCTTGAAAATTGCCATGAGATATGCTATTACAATTAATCATTAAAGACTTAAGAAAGAGTATACCCCATTACATAAAAGACTCCAGCAATGATCTTTATCCAACTTGTAAAATGGGCAGACTTGATGCGACTGAATAATTTTCCTCTCATCTGCACAAAATCATGAATGCAAGTCAGACTTTGAACCTGAAGT